GTGCCTTCATGTTTTACTGCTTCCTTTCCTTTCAGGAGCTAGCCAGAGCGAAATGAAACGTGTCGAAAACCGTTTTTCGCAAAACAAATCTGCTTGGAGTACACCATTCGAACAGTCGAAGCAAACGAGAGGGTACAGCGCTCCTTGAGCGTTCGTATACACGGATTTGATTATCCCCGATGCAAGATACCCAAGTCTGATGAACCAGAACGTTTTGATGTAACGACGCCGACTTTCCACGTCAACTTATGGTTGACGGTTTGTCTTTTCCATTTTTCCCTGCATCATACTGCTTCTTCCTCTTTCCTGCCCTCGTCACCGCTCGAATGCTTGATAGTTATCAGGTGCTCTTGCTGCAGGCATGAAATTTGGACGTGATTTTGCCGAATCCGTGGTCTTCCGAAAGTGCCGTTGGGTGGATAACAGGTGTATTCTGTGCTCCTCCAGCACTACCGGCAAGAAGCAGAAATTCGAAAAGGGGAAATATTTGCTTCGGGACTATGCGCCACACGGACGCAGTATTTCTATAAAAAACGATCCAGCCAAGGTTCAGGTAGTATTTCCTTTCGGATTTCGTCTTTTGCTTTTTCTATTTCCTCCTACTGCTCGGCTAACACAATGCATTGCAGAGCCGAAAATTTCAGGACGCTGCCACTGTTGCACTTCAGCTGCGTGCAAAGGGTTTCGTAGCCTATTCAACGGATAATCGAATCCTGATCGGCCCTGCAATGATGCTCGATTCTATCATTAAACAGATCCCGCCATACGTCCCATGCTGAAACCGAGCGTTGACTTTGCATATCACTGATCCTGTAAAAAACTTTATTTTTCTGATTTTTAAAAAAAGAGATTTTCTGCAGTTCTTTTGAATTTTCCAGTCTATTTTCCACATCTATAAGGCTTGTGTTCACCTGTCATGCAGTCAACATACTGACTGATAACCTTGTATTCCACACCGCTGTTGCTGTGCTATTTCCATTGCCGGTAAAAAGCTACATCGCGTTTACACTCCTTTACTCGTTGTCTTTTCTACTTTGCCTTCCCCCGGACACTGCAGTTGACCGATTACATCCATGTTTCTCTGTAATGCTCGCATCCTAGCTGGCGCTCGGCCTGATGGTTCTGTGTTTGTTAATGCAAGGTCTGGCCGCCACTTTGGTTTCAAATTGCACTGTGTGTATAGGTGTTAGGCAGACACTTACTTTGCATCACCACTTCACTCACCGTTTAGCACTCGGCAGGCCCACTTCCCCAATTTTCCACCTCAGCATCAATTCATTCCCTTGTTTTTTCTTCCGAAGCTTTAGAATGTATAATTTTATTTCCTATTATTCGACGTTCCATTGCATTGATGCATATTGCTCTAAGCCTTTTTGACCTTTGCATTTTTGTCACTTACAAGTTTCAGTCTACCCTTGGTGCCACAAATCATTTTCTCGAGGTTTCGCCATCATTACTTGATCGTCCATAGACCCACCGTTTTCCTACCTATGGTTCCATTTTCGTTTGCCTCTGTCTACGCGCACGTGACTTTGGTCCAGAAAACATCTTGGAATACGATTTTTCTTGCGTTTACCACTGTTAATACTGGTTATTTTATGGTCTCTTGGCTTATTGTTACGAAGCCACATTTCATGTATTTATTTTTTCGCGTACTTTCCATTTCTGTAGACTTTTCCCACTTTACTTCGTCGCAAACACACTACAAAATGTGCCTTTTTCGCGTCTCTTAATCACCCTTTCTGCGCTCTTCCTTCTCACCCTAGGGGTTTACCCTGTCCCCTTTCTCTTTTCTCACCTCTCCTCCTCTTTCGTACGCACACTCCCCTTCAAATTTACAACACCTTCCTATTACATGCCTTACACGCCATGTTCACATGTACCCCCGGCGGCTTCTTCTAACTAAGCATCCCGCATAACGGAACCAAACTTACCCGCCTTTCCTTCTTCACATTCGCTTTCGCAGAATTTTTGAGAGCTTCCCTCCCGGCCTCTATAGTCTCACGGGATTCCACTTCTAGTTATCGGTTAAAAAGCTGACGGACAGGGACCCCCATCGTCGCCCTGCTCTGGTGGAGTGTTTTGGCTCTGGTTGTAGCCCAATAGGCAGCAATCCTGCCTAGTAGCGCGAGTATTGAAAAGGTAGCCGTCCTTGGCCAGGCGCCTACCGTAACAATTGGTCAGCTAAACAAACATCTATTGTATCTTGCGCCGGGTCTTCCTCTCAGCTGTTCCGGGATGACCCAGCCTTACCTAGGGATAGTCACAGAACCAACCCAGACTGAAACACACCAGGCGAGCCTGTGCGACCATGCGTTTTTGCACCAAACCTGAAGTGTTTAGGTTAGCTGCATGAACGCCGACCTTGTGCGCTCAATACCGTAAACCATCGCATATTTTGCACAAAAGGAAATAAACAATTTCCGTTTAGCGGTCGTTTTTTGGAAATGACCCAGCTGTTCAGTGAGTGATTTTCCAGCCAAAAATTTAAGTGTCCGTACACGGGTACCACACGTGCATGGAGGCTGAATTTGAAACCTGTAAGTTGCATTCGGACGGGGAGTATTCTCCTAAAATCCCAGCTTTGCAGCTTTTCTGGCACCAAGTTAGCAGTTTTCCTGCCAAAACTTTCACAGGGCCGCATGTGACTTGGGAGCACACCTGGGGGCTGGGTCCGGCAAGTTGTGTGTAGGCTGGGAATATCCTTTTAAAATTTCAGCCTCCCAGCCTTGCTAGTTTCCAAGTTAGCCATTTTCCCGTCAAAAAATTTCACGGAGCTGTACATGAGAACCACTTGGGGGCTAAATTTAATAGGTTTATGTTGTACTAATGCTGGGAAAATTCCTTGAAAATTTCAGCCTCCCAGCTTTCCTGGTTCCGAAGCTAGCGATTTTCACGCCAGGAACCCTCATGGGGCTGTACACGGGAATCATGCACACCAGGGGGCGGAAATTGAAATCTTTGAGTTATATGCGAACGTCGAACACAACCTCAGAACTTCAGCTTTCTATCTTTTCTCGTTTCCGAGTTATTAATTTTCCGTCAAAATTTTCACCCTCTCGTGCGCGGGGCTCAGACTTGCGTGAGGATTGGTACTGCAGTTCTGGGGTGGCACTTGGCCGGGGAACCCACTAGCAAAATCTAGGTGCTGGAACTTGCTTGGGTGCCGAGTTGAAATACCTGGGCAGATGAACACACACACACACAGGGTCGTTGCAATATGCGTTTTTGCAATTTGCATATAGACAAAAACGCATGAAAAAGTTTTCCGCATTGACCGTCATTTCCACATTAGTCGCGTCCCCACATATGATAATTTCATTCAGAGTCACGCAACACTTCCCTGCAGCAGCAACTGTCTCTGTTGCCGTGTGGTTGACTCCTCTGGTATGCCACCACCAGTAGCTGTGCCTTCATTCCCCTTTGTCAACCTAATATGCTCCTTGCCTGCAATACTAAGGGCATAATTTATTTGATCGCATGCAGGACTTGCCGTATGCAGTATATTGGACAAACGTTCAGAAGTCTCCGTGAAGGGGCCAGAGAGCATCATCTGGGCGTCGTACGCGAGGCCAACACCATTCTGTACAGGCGCTTTCAGCAACTTCACCATGACCTTGATTCTTTAGGTACTGAGATCGTGGTAACTGTAGACACCACCACATCCTCTTTACAGGACCGCGAATTATTTTGGATTAAGGCTATTAACTCTGCATATCCTTACGGATTAAATGACTGCATAAAATTATACGGTACCATTTCCGAGGGCCTTCTTCTCTTCAACTTGGGCAGAAGCCCCCACTTTCAGATTCCTCTACCGCGTATATCCCGAGGCCACGGAAAGCGAAAACGAAGATCACGTATTCCCGACGTGTCATTAGTTGACTGGGCTGTTTCCTGTTCTGTTGATACCCCAGAACGGATCAAGGAACTTCTCAAGAGAGAAGTTCCTATATGATATTATATAGATACGATAAACTAGTCAGTTCTCGAATTATGAACTACAACACCTTCCTTAGGAGTATAAATAACAACCCCACAAAACTAATGACTATATTGTCTTCTACGTGTCAGTGCTCGTCATCTCCGTTCGTATATCGACCTTCCGGTCATGTCGTCACAGGCTGCTTGGGTACAATTTCCGATGTTACATTATGCGATTACGCTTAATCTTGTTCAAAGGTGTTAGCTACAGAACACCCACTCTTCGGCACTTTGAGGACGTATTTACCGACGTCTCCCTTGCTGTTGATCATTTCATTCTAAAGAATAGCCGAGCCCATCGATTTACAGTTACTGAGTACGAGGGGTCTAAACATAGGGCATCAGCTCATTTTCGTTGGCAAACCACCCTTTGTCAAGACAGTACGCCTTTTCCATGGTCGAGTATCACCAGCGCCTTGCGTTTTCTGCACGATCAAATCGTAATCACCACTGTTGACAAGGCACCGAGTAATTACATCTTCATTTGTAAAAAGTTCTGTGCCTAGTTACTCTGCGAAGAGCTGGGTTATGTCACTTACAGCGCGATGAGTGGCAATACTGTTTACAGTCCGTTGGTCATCAACCCTGAAAGGCTCATCAACTGCTTTAGGGCGCTATTGAGCTCCATAGAAAATTCAGCATACATGTACTGGAGCTATGTATTCGTGTAATAGTGCCCCATTTATGTGGA